ATAGTGCTATAATTTATTTCGCTTTCATTGAGGGTACGTGATGCAAATGATATTGGTTTATCAGAACCTACAGGCCCTTGCGATAGAACGGCACCTATTGCAAAGTTAGAGGCATCAGTAGTCAAGATAAATTCCTTACTGAAGTCTGGGTATTGAAGTATTGGATCGTTGGTTAGTAATTTTTTACATTTTTCAAAACAGTTAATATAGTCTTCGTCTAAAGTAATCTTTATGTTCTTTTTTAAACACTGTGTCATTGGTTTAGTTATCCTAGCAAAGTCAGGTATGAATTTCCTATAGTATCCTAGTAGGCCTAAAAACTGTTTTATTTCTTTAGTGGTCTTCGGTAAGGGGTACTTTTCTATGGTCGAAATCTTATCAGGGTTAGGTTTAACGCCCTCTCTAGTAATTACATGTCCTAAATATGCTGTTTCTAGTTTCAAAAATTCTGATTTGTCCATTTGGATCTTAAAATTGGATTCTCTTAGTCTCTGGAACACTTTCTCAAGATTAATCATGTGTTCCTGTAAACTGGTACTAAAGACGATAATATCATCAAGGTATACTAGGCATACCTCGTTTTGTAACCCTCTAAGCACGTTATCCATCACACGTTGGAAAGTTGATGGAGAATTTTTTAATCCCATGGGCATACGAAGAAATTCGAAATGCCCATGCTCAACATTAAAAGCTGTCTTTTGGATATCGCTAGGGTCCATTTCAACCTGGTAAAAGCCACTAGCAAGGTCAAGGGTCGTAAAATATTGACATTTACCTAATTTGTCTAAGACGTCACTAATATTAGGGATGGGACACTTGTCATCTATGGTTTTTTCGTTTAACTTCCGAAAGTCAATTACAAGACGCCATTTCTGCTTGCCGGAAGCATCAGGTTTTTTTGGCACTACCCAAATAGGTGAGCTCCATGCTGATTCTGAAGGTCGTATTATACCTTGAGATAACATTTTTTCGATTTGCTCTTTTACTTCTTGTCGGTGAATAAAAGGGTATCTGTAACTTTTTGTATAAACTGGTACCTCATCCGTGGTATTGATACGATGTTTGATTTTATTAGTGAAGGTCAAAGGTTCATTCTCTATATAAAAAACATCCGAGTAACGAGAGCATAAAGATATTAAATTAGCTTTTTCTTCCTCGTTAAGATGGTCAGTACGCAAACGAGATATTACATCTTGAGCGCGCGACGTAAGCGAGTCACATTCTACATTAAATACATCTGCACTAACCGAATGGTCTAGTGAGAGTATAACATCATTATCCGTAAGATTATGTACTTCTAACAGACCGCGACTATTAACTACATTCGTTATACATTCGACTATTAAACAGTTACAGATCGTTTGTTCCGGAATAAAAGCATCGCCATCTGGGGCGTTGATTGGTAATTTAACAAGCTTAGAACTTCGCGCAGGAATGATGTCCTCATATAAATTGACATTTCGGGAGTTATACATCTTAATTGGATTTACTGTAGATTGTGTAGTCAAGGTCTTGTCTTTTAAGTCGATTTTAGCTTCCCATTTAGTCAGTAAGTCCAGTCCTATCAGACCGTCAAAGAAGTCATGAAAGTTATAAACAAAGAGGCGTATACTTTCGTTATCATTGAACTCCGGAAAGCATGGTAGATTAATCGAATAATTATTTCTAGTGGTCGCATGAACATTTGTTACTTCAAAAGGGTCTAAATTAAGAGGAAGGTCTGAAAAATAATTTTGAACAGCTTGTGGGCTAATAAATGATTGATTAGCGCCCGTATCAATTAATAACTTAAGAGGTGGATCTGATATTTGAATATAAGGCAGCTGCCTTTGAGTCTGTAGGTTTATTTCTATTTTGGCTTTTTTAATTTCTGATTCATTTGAAAATTTTGGTGGTCATTAACAGTAACATTTTCAACGTCGTTATTTCCTGCATATTCGATAGTATTGTTATAACAAGAAGGGTGAGATATTTCTATTGAATCGTAATTGGTATAGTCAGCGTAATCATTGCATGTATAAGTTTCGTCACTGGCCTGTGGGTAATAGTCACAGTTAGGATCATAGTCATAGTCACTATAATAGTCAGGTTCGTAACATTCGTTAATATTCATCTCCCATGTTTTAAAGTAGTTAGAAGGCGGGGGATTACCATGAATACGCCAATCATGTCCACGAAGTCCACCTGTAGGAGGCAATGGTTTAGGGTTATAATGCTGAATACCACTCATCGGCTTGGGAACAAAAGATAGGCTGGGTTGATTCCTGTGTGGCAGTCGAAATACATTACTATGAGGATTATAATTGGGAGGTCTAGCGCTAAACATTTGCTGAGTTCGGGATGGCATACGTACCTGTGGCTGAACTTGGTTCTGCATAGGGTTTACCCTAAACCCTTGTTGAGGCGCAAACCTGAACAGTTGCGGTATGAATTGGGGTGGCCTTTGCATAGAAGGCGTGGGCCACATTGCTGCTGGGATTTGTAATTGTGAAGGTTTTGGAATTTGCACAGGAGTTGGATAACTAACCTTAGGGGTTGTTTGTGGCTTATTCACTGAGTCGTTACGCTGTTGTAAATACATTATATTTAACTCCTCCTGGACATATTCTAAAGCCTTTTCAATTGTTTCGGGCCTCATGCATCGAATGCGTGATCCTAGGGGTTCTTGCAATCCCCTAACAAATGCTTGCATAGTGAGTTTTCTATAAAGGGTGCGTTTAGCTTCAATTGTGGTTAATAAAGTTTCATGTAAACTAATGTAGGTCATAATGGTACTAAATAATGTCTGGCAGTGATCATAAAATTCTTGGGGTGATTTTTGCCCTTGAGTGGCCAAAGAGAGGTCATTATAAAGGGTGGTTTCATCCCTTTGATCGGCAAAATTATTGATAAGCGCATTACGAATGTCTAACCAATTATCAGGTATACCATTCGCGTTAATTATACTAGCGGCTGGTCCGGTAATTTTATTTAATATACCGTTTATTAAACACAAATTTGATAATTCACTACCCGGTTCAGAACACATATAATTAAGTACGATCTGATCGCAAATTTTAATAAAGCGCGTGAGAACATTTGGGTTACCATCAAAATCTGGTACAGGGCGCAAAGCTTTAAAAATCGTATCTGGATCGTGTGCCATTTTTATAGTTAAAAAGGAACTGTATAAATCGTTATCGTTGTTCTGACTAAACAAACTATTCAATTCTAAATTTAAATTGATTATATCTAAGTTTCTATTACTATCTAATTGTCTATTCCGGCGAGACTGCCTGAGCGCAGACTCGCTGGTTCCCGATAGGCGGTGGTGAAAAATTTTGGGATTAGAAAAGGATTATAAGTAGAAGGAAAGCAACACAAGAAAGAATCTGTGCAACTTACAATTTCATTTCGTTTCTCTGCGTATCGATTGCTAGATACTCCTCCTCCGTGTGGCTGCAGCTCCCGTAGGTTCAGGATACTCGTCGATGAGGCTTGAAAGCCGCCCGGGCGACCCGCGATACCCGAAATCGAAGTAAGAAATCTTTGCGCGACCCGACCCGCGAGTATCCTACCGACTGCGCCAATTACGTAGGCTCCAGCCGGAGGAATTAAAAAAAACGAAATTAAAATTTAATTTATTTAATAAAAGTAAAATTACAATTTAATTTATTACAAACTACTGTCTAAGCCCGATGCTAGGAACAAAGTACTGGAAAAATATAATTATTAATTTAATGAAAATGTGGATTTCACAATATGATGACGCCAGGTCACGTTGGCCGTCGAACGTTGTACCCACACGTTCCGCTGACGCTGCATCGTGGTTTCCTGCAATACCTAATGTGCTAATTTGGGTCGCCGTTGATCTATAGGTATCGGCTGATATAATTCGTTTGTTTCTATTGTTTGTTTGTGATTGTTTGTATGTGTTTTCTATATTGTGTTTCTTTCCTTTATGCATATGCTGTGGTAGTGCGGGCCAGATATTCCCTTTTCTCTCGGACCCTGCACTCCTTGCTGAAAGCATTATGCTCGTCCTCTTCCATTTTTGCGTGCGTGCAATTGCAGCACCGCGGTGGTCTTCCTGCTTCCCTTTCTGGGCAGTTAACCCTGAGGTGCTGGTCCCCGCAGTGGCTGCATCCGCTCGCACTTTCCTGGCAAAATTTCTTGCCGTGTCCGAATCCTAAGCATTTTGTACACTGTATGAGCGGCGATTGGTCTTCGACCCTTAACCGCTCCATTCCAATGTACAAACGTCCCATTCTGGTCATGGCTCCCCATATTTCTGGTTTGACTTGCAATACTGGGTGACACCTCTCTTGGTTAAAAACCCTCTTTCTAAATTTAACTTTTATTTCCTTGTCCTCTTCTCTTTTGAAAATTTCTTCATTTTGGGCTATTATGGATTGGGTCAACTCCTCCTCGGTCATTTTAAATTGCACGTCCTTGATCACTACCAGTGGATTTTTGTTTTCAATTTTTTCGGCTTTTACGCCTTTGGCTTCTTCTAGTTCCTTTTTTTATTTTCTTGATTTCTTTTCAGCCAATAACTACTTTCCCTTCTTTAATTTTTCTGATATTGTCTATTTTTATATTTTTCTTTTTGGGCTCTAAAATTTTCTCTACTTTTTGTATTAGATCTTCTGCTGTGTCATTTTGATCTTCCGAGGTTAATATTACAGAGTGTATGGTTTCTGGTATATTTTTCTTAGTTTTGTCTGCGTATGTTGTTTCTCTAGTATTAATTTGATGTATCTGTGGGTCTTCTTGGTTACTCTTAATTTTTACTTCTATTTCTTGTTTTACTTTGTTTACTATTTCTTATTCATGTGTTTCCCAATCGATATTTTCTATTACTTCTTTTGTTTTTTTTTGTACTTTCTTCTATCTTTTCCTCTATCCCCTCACGCAACTCATAAACCGTTGGTATTCTCCGTAAGTTTGTATCCTTCACATACCATTCTACGTCATCAATTATTTTTCGTGCATTTTCTTTTGTTCCGCTTTAATTTCTACTATTCCTTGAGTTCCTCTATTGCCTCTTTTATTTCTTCCACTTCCCGTCCACTCGTTTCTCTCCTCTCCTTTCTTTCCTCATCTCCTTCCTCTCTTTCCGATGTTTTCCGTGTCCTCTCCATATTTTTCATTTTCCTTTCTAGGTCTATAACCTCAGCTACTATATTATCCTCGGATGATTCTATTTTTTTGTTTATCTCTCCTATTCCTTCCTTAATGTTAGTAACAATCTCTTCCACTTCTTGTTTCTTTTCATCCTCCTTTTCCTTTCTCTCTCTCCATTCATTCATATTCTTGTCCATTGTTTCTCTTATTATTCTTAATTTTTCTTCTATTCCTCCGCTGTTTTCATCTTCTTTTGTTTTTTCTCCTTTTGCTATTCTTTTACTTATTTCGTAAAGCGTAAAAAGGCCTCTGTCCGACATCTCTTCTATTTGTTCTTTAACATCTCTCCGCATCTGTCCGTAAATTAGTTCATGCAACTTTTCCATTGTTTCCATTTGGTCTTGCAGAAGTTTCTCCAGTGGTGTTAGTTCTATTACCCTTTTTCCCTTGTAATTTGTCATGATATTTATTGATCTCTTGCTTCTTCCCGGTTTTTTAATAAACTTTTTTCCTGCGTCTTGATTTTCCATTTTAGGTGGAGGAGTTGTTTCCTGGGAGAATCTTCTTGTGTTTTTTATTGGGGATGTTGTCGGGGTAGGGTACACTTTAATATGTTGTTACTCCTGGGGTGCAGTGGATTGATTTCTTGTGTATATGTTTTGTGTGTAATGTTTGTTGTGTTTATGTATTGTGTTATAAAGTGTATATGTCTAATGTTTGTTTTTTATTATTGTGTGTTTAATGTTCGTTTTTTGTTCTAGATGCCGTCGTCCTGTTGCAGATCTACTGCGAAGTCCTCTTCTCGGCGTGTTGGTGAGTGACGTTTTAGTTATATGTCAGTATGTATGTGCGTGTGTGTGTGTGTGTGTGTGTGTGTGTGTGTGTGTGTGTGTGTGTGTGTGTGTATTGTCAAAAACAGAGCCTAGCTCTATGCGTCTAATCAGTATTTTATCTTATTCTACGACGTGATCTGATAGGATATCACAGTCAACTTAAAATTTAAATAAAATGTAAAAAATATAATAAAAAGGTAAATACAAGTAGTGCCCCAGCAGATTTTGGGGTGTATCTGTTTAGTATATTTTATACTTGTCTTTTGGTCAACAAAACTTCAACAGTTTCTTTCAATTATTTTTATTTCTTGCGAAAAACGTTAAATTTTTATAAGTCAAAAACCTTTGGTAAAAACAAATGTTTTTCGTTCGAATTTTTTTATATGTCTTTACGTATGTTATTCTTTATAATTATATTTTTTTCCGCAGAAAATAACGAATCGCGGTTTTTCCGGTGTTTTCCGGGATTTTCTCGGTAATTCCCGGGTTTATAGGGTCGCGACCACGTCGTCCGCTAGAGCTCTTTAATCCCTTTTCCCCGATGCCTCACTTGCCTCGCTCCGATGAGTAGTTCCGGAGATATACCCCGGTCAAAATCGGCAAAAACTCGGCCCAAATGGGACGAGTGCCAATATCTCCGGAACTATTAACCCTGTAGAATTGGGACTTTTTGGGGATAGGTAGAGGAGGTCCTGCCCCACCTGTTTCCGGGGTCAGATGGATTTGCCCCGGGACCTTGAGCTAGGGCAAATTTGCCCTGTGGGTCTGGTAGAGCTGGGCAGGGGACTATTTATATTGGAAACCCCGTTCCTCTACGACGAATATAAGACGGTATAGAAGATACAGTCCTCCAAAGTTTTCAAAAATGAGGGGATGAAGTGATCCCCTAAGCTTTGGAGGGCTATATCTCCGGCCCTACTCGTCGCTTGAAATTGGGGCTTGGAGTTGATTTGGTAGGAAGGTGAGGTCTTGCCGATGCAATCTCAAAATTGGGGGGCTAAGTTCAACCCCTCCAATTCGAACTTCACCCTGTGGGATGTGTAGAAGGGATCCTGGGATGGGAGTGACTTCAAATTCCGATCTTCTAAGTCCAATATTGGCCGAGATATGGGGAATCCAAAATTTCCAAAATGGCCGATCCAATATGACCGACCACTTTTTGGAAATTAATATCTCGGTCAATACTGGTCGCAGAGCCACGGGTATTTCGGCGTAGGGTTGGGGAAGGAGAGTTCTACTGGAATCCCGTTCCAAATCAGAGTTTAGAAAAATTTTGGGTCCGAAAAATTTTTTGAAAATTGAAAATTTGAATTTTTAAGTTTTGGAATTTTGTGCCCTGAAGGAGCCTAGGGGATTTAATGCCAAACAAAGATTCAAAAACCGCGTTCAAAAATTTTGAGTATCAAAAAAGTTATGGGGAGGCAAAATTTCGGTCGGTTGGTCCCAATATGGCCGCTATTTTCAAAAATCTATTATTACACGTGTATTACACGCGTTAAGGGGACCGATTTTGGGTTGTTTAGTGTTGCCGGGGGGTTTATAAAACCTTTCCCGGTGTCAAATTTTACTGTTTTTGGGTAGTTTTTGTATAAGGGGGTAAAAACTTACACTTTATTGCGTACAATTACAGTTACACAAAAAACATATACAATCAAAACCAAACGAAATCACAAAAGGCGGCTTTATTGCTAAGGTAGCAATTCTTTTTCCAGGCTATCCTTGATCAAAGAAAATTACACCAATTAAAGAAACGAGTAAGTAGTGAGTTAATCTATGATAAATGTAAATGTACTACATAACTGCTACAAAACAGAGAAAAAAATTCAGGGTGTGGCGTAAATAGTGGTCCACCGTTAAGGATTCGATTTAACAGATAATGTATTATAACCTACTACAATTTTAACCATTTTTACCCAAGGGTTCCGGAGACGTTTCGAACGTCTTTACGAAACTTGATAGTGCAGCAATTTCAGTGAAAATAAATATATATTAATTGCTATACACACAGTAAAAGCGTTCATTTAGTTTGTGAAGTGACAGTGAGGCTTTGTTACAGTGGGCATAACGTTTCGCACTTAAGTTACGCTAATTTACGGAATATTAATCAGCTGATTTCTAGTACATTTTTTATGCATAGAGGGTGATTTAAAAATTTTGAATTTCAAGCTTCCCCTCAATTTTCTTTTATAAAATACACGCTTGCCATCTGTTCAAATATTCCGGCGAGGACGGACTCTTGCTGTTGGTCGCACAGCGCCATCTGTGAACGTAAAGCGCAACTATTTGCCTACACACCTACAAGAACCATCGCGATGCCACAGTGCGCAGCCTGTGGTAAATTTTTATCACCTGCGGGTGCCACTGGTTGTGGTTCATGTCTATTAAAATTCCATAAGGCTTGCCTGGGAATACCAGAAAAATCACAAATCGGCAAGAACTGGGTTTGTCTGGCATGCAAACGGAACTTGCGGAAGGGTGACAATAGTGAGACACCGGTGAAGGGGCTCTGCGACGAAAGAACCGCCGAAGCACCGTCCCATGGCGGTGTGACACTCGACGCACCTCCCGGCGTCGTTGTTGAGACGGATCCGGAGTCGGAAGTGGCAGCCTGCACCCCCTCTGATGTCAAGGGCTTGTTGGAGTTTCGTCAGTTGTTTGCAGAATGTATGTCGGAGATGCGGGAGTTCAGGAAGGAACTGATGTCACTCCATTCATCCTTCAAGGCAGTGACAGAACGACAGGATCTGATGGACAGTAGGCTGGACGGCATGGCGCTGAAGCTGGAGGAACTCGAGGGTCGTCTCGCTGCTGGGGCGCCGTCACGGGTGGTGGAGCTGGAGCGTGTAGTATCGGAACTCAGGGGCGAGCTCAACATGCGGGATCAGGATGCTCTACTGGCGGACCTGGACGTCGGATCGGTTCCGGAGGAGAAGGGTGAAAATGTGACGCACACCGTGACTGCTCTGGCTTTGCGTCTCGGTATAACCCTGGAGGAGCGTGACGTGGTATTCGCCGAGCGCGTGGGTGCCCCTCCGGCTGCCGGTGGTCGCGCACGCCGGATCGTGGTGCGGTTGTCCCGACGTGGTCTGCGTGATGAGGTGCTGCGTGCCGCCCGGACTCGTCGTAACCTTGAGGCTTCAAACGGAACACGCATATATATCAACGAGCGGTTGACTCGCCATAATCGCCAGCTGTTTCTCCGGGTGCGCGAGGGGTGCCGTCAACGGAACTGGCGCTACTGCTGGACCAGGCACGGTTGCATTTTTGCTCGACAGAGTGATGGACAGCGGGTGTTGCGATTTCGCTCGGATGCAGATCTCGAACGAATATTTAATATTCCTCAGAGGGGTTCCCCGGAACCGAAGCTGCCGGATGGTCATGATGGTCAGTCATTGCCAGCCTACTCTGGTGCTGGCGCTGAAGTATAATAGAATATCTAGTCTGGGCTTTTAATGTATCTGTGGTTTAGAATGCATCTCTCTCTCTGGTTCCACCTCTTGGTAAGTTTACATGTTTATTAAATGCTCTCAAGAAATATTAGTTTCAATTATATGTTTTAATTATAAAACATGGCGCAGTCGTTGTAAAACTAAATTTAAAGTTTTGAAATAAAATTAAATATAATGGATTCGGTTGTAAAGTTGCCACCAAATATAGACTTGCGTTCCGAACCAAACGAGTGGCCATTTTGGAAATGCCTATTTGAGGATTATTTAATTACTACGGGTAAAGATGAAGCGAAAGATAAAGTTAAATTATCACTGCTACGAAACATGATAGGGCCGGAGTCTGCAAAAGTTATAATAAGTTTGAAAGTATCGAAGGAGGAGTCGCAATTATATGACAAGGTGATAGACGCCATTGATGCTTATGCGAACCCCAAGCAAAATAAAGTGTTTGAAAGGTATAGATTTAATGAAAGAAGACAGAAAGAGGGCGAAAGTTTTGAAAATTTTTATACCGATTTAAGGCAACTAATTTCTAAGTGCAGATATAATGACACTGATGAACCCCTAGAAGATCAGTTGCTGAGGGACAGATTGGTACAGGGAATAAGTGATAAAAGTTTGCAAGAAACTCTTTTAAGGATGGAAGGCCTGACTTTAGAAAAAGTAGCCAAAGTTTGTCGAGCTGGTGAGATTAGTAGAGCACAAGTGAAGGAAATGAACCCAAGTATTGAGATTGATAACATTAAATATAAAAATATAAGAATCAGAACAAGAATAAGTTTAGAAAAGAAGATAACATATCCAAGTTTAATAGTTCCAAGTTTTTATGTCGCCGCTGTCAGAAACAACACGGGCCAAGAGAATGTCCTGCGTATGGGAAGAGGTGTAATAAGTGCGGATTATTAAACCATTTTACAGTCAGCTGTAAGGTGAAGAAGGTTCGTGAAGTAAGCTGTTTGGAAGAGTATAACAGTAAAGGAGAAAATAGCTCAGAAGGAAGTTTATATTGCGGTGCAGTACAAATGTCAAGTATAAATAAGTGTGAATGGACTGAATTTGTTTTCATAGAAAATCTACAAATTAAATGTAAATTAGATACCGGTGCAGATGTAAGTATTATGCCAAAACACATTTTTGATAAAATTAACAAACATACTGAATGTAAATTGCAAAAAACAGATTTTAAAATTGAATCTTTTGTCGGTGAAAAGGTAGAACCAATTGGTATTGTAAATTTAAAATGTAAATTTAAAGATAATGAATGTTATGAGAATTTTATTGTGGTGAATTGTAGTACCATGTTATTAGGGTTGCCAGCTTGTGTTTCATTAAATCTAGTAAGACGCTGTCACTCTGTTAAAAGTGAAAACATTAAAGAGAAGTTTGTAAAACAGCATTATAAAGTGTTTAAAGGAATAGGTCGAATGCCAGGTACTGTTGATATCCCTACTAAGTTTACAGAGGAACAAATTTGTTATCCATCACCTAGATTGCCTTCATGTTTATTAGAACTATTAAAAGCTGAATTAAAGAGGTTAGAAAGTAGAAATGCTATTAAAAAAGTTCAAAGTGTAAGTGAAAATGCGTATGTAAATAAAATTGTACTAGTAGAAAAGCCAAATGGAAATGTAAGATTGTGCCTTGATCCTTCAGATTTAAACAAAGTTATTGTAAAGAAACCTAAAATATTGCCAACTCTTGAAGATTTAAGTTTAAAATTGAATGGTAAAAAAGTATTTTCTGTGTTAGATTTATCGGAAGGCTTTCATCATTTAGTTCTATCAGAGTCTGCTTCATGGAAATGTTGCTTTGCTACACCTTTTGGTGTATATAGATATTGTGTCTTACCGTATGGTCTTATGAATGCACCTGAATTATTCCAAGATATACTTGAAAGTCACTTTGGTGACATACCAAATGTTGTGATATGGGCTGATGACATTTTGTGTATGGGAAAAGATGAAAAAGAACATGATTTGGCATTATTTAATGTAATTAAGAAAGCTGAACAGTTAGGTATAATATTTAATAAAAATAAATTTCAGTATAAACAGTCAGAAGTTCGGTATGTAGGGCAAGTGTTTAACGAGCAAGGAATGTCCTTAGATAAAGAAAGAGTTGAGTCATTATTAAATTTAAAAGAGCCAAGCAATAAAGATGAATTAAGACAAATTTTAGGTTCATTTAATTATGTTCGAAGGTATGTACCAGATATGGCAAATTTAATGTCACCTCTATTTAAATTATTAAAGAAAGATTCAGAGTTTATTTGGTTGCCTGGTCATAGGTTAGCATTCGCTGAGCTGAAAAGAAAAGTTTGTACAGCCTCTGCTTTAGTTCCTTTTGATACAAAAAAAAGTATTGTTCTACAGTGTGATGCATCCAAAAGTGCATTAGGATGTTGTTTATTTCAGAGAGATAAAGAAAATGTTTTAAAATTAGTTGCTTGTGCATCTCGAACAATGAATGACGCTGAGCTTAATTATAGTCAGTCAGAAAAAGAATTGTTATCCATTTGTTTTGCTGTAAAGAAATTTCATAGATTCATATATGGGTCACATGTTGATGTACAGACAGACCACAAACCTCTTGTTTCAATAATGTTAAAGCCTATTTGTAAGATTGGGTCTCCTAGATTGAAAAGGTTAAGATTGAAACTACTAATGTATAATCTAAATGTATATTATGTACCGGGTAAATTGTTACATTTTGCAGATATGTTGTCCAGAAATAGCTTGATGTATTCAGAAAATGACCATGAAATGTTACATATTGTTCATTCTCTTACTGCTCACTTACCTATGTCAACTGAAAGGAAGTTTAAGTTTATAAATGAAACAAAGTTAGATTCAGTTTTAAGTATAATAAATCAATATTGCAAAAATGGTTGGCCAAATGAAAATATTGTATCCAAAGAATGTAAACCCTATTATAAAATTAAGATAGATATCTACTTTGAAAGTGGATTAGCATTTTTCCAAAACAAAATAATTGTTCCTAAGTCTTTGAGGTTACATGTACTGAGTTTAGTTCATGAAGGTCATCATGGAATTTGTAAATCTATTTCTAAAGCTAGACAGTTGTTCTATTGGCCTGGAATGTCAAAAGATATACATAATTTTGTTCTTGAATGCCGTACATGTGAAAAGTTTAGATCAGCTAATTCATTTGATAAAATATTAAGTCATAAAATACCTAATCGTAGATATGCTAAAGTTGGTAAATATTACCTGGTAATTATAGACTATTTTTCTCATTGGTTAGAAATTTTACCTTTAAAAGATAAAACATCCAAATCTGTTATTAATGCTTTTCAAGATAGTTTTTCACGTTTTGGTTATCCTGAAGAAATTATTTGTGACAATAATCCTTTTAGTTCTTTTGAATGTCAACAATATTATAAATGTAAAGATATTATAGTAACATTTAGTAGCCCGCATTACCCAAGAAGCAACGGTTTGGCAGAAAAAGCTGTACACATTAGTAAAAATATTTTGAAAAAAGCTTGTGAAGATAAAGTTGATTTTAGAGATTATTTGTTAAGTTACAATAATACTCCACTAACAGGTCTAGATATTTCACCTTCTCAAATTTTAAATAGTAGAATGGTCAGGACTCTCATCCCTTGTAAAGATACATTGTTAAAGCCAAAAGTACAAAAGAATGTTTATAAATTATTAATGTTAAATCAATCTATTAATAAATCTTGTAAAAGTAATTATAGAAAGAAGAAAGTTAATTTTAAAGTTGGTGATGAGATAGTACATAAAACTGATAAGGAGAAAACTTGGAAGAAAGGTAAAATAGTTGGTATTTGTAATGAACCGAGGTCATACAGGATAGGAAGGGAAGGTCAAGCTCAACTTAGAAGGAATAGTAAGCATATTAAAATGTCGTTTAGCAGAAATAAATATTTTAATTTAAAAGAAAATAACATGTTTGATATTAGTACAGAAAATAACAATAATGTAAAAAGTAGTTCTGTGTTACAGCCAGTTAAGGCATATTTACAAAATGATAATGTGTTTAAACAAACTAGAAGTGGAAGAATTGTAAAACCGCCAGATAGATTAAACCTCTAGTTACAAACTTAAAATTGTTATAAGTAAAGTTTTGAATTAGTCTTAGACTTTATTTTGTTAAACTGTAATTTTAAAATTTAAATAAATGTATGTTTAGGGGGGGAGATGAAGTATAATAGAATATCTAGTCTGTGCTGTTAATGTATCTGTGGTTTAGAATGCATCTCTCTCTCTGGTTCCACCTCTTGGTAAGTTTACATGTTTATTAAATGCTCTCAAGAAATATTAGTTTCAATTATATGTTTTAATTATAAAACAGGCGCCACTGGTGACCGTCCGATGTAGGAGACTGGTCTCGCCGTATCCTGCAAAATATACATTTATTATATATGTGTCATATGTCCGTCATATGGTAATAAAAAAAAAAATGTTATATTTACCTTGTTCTGTTTACACATATTACTACATTGTTGTCTTTTCCTTTTTTATAAGTTTTACTCTTTTTTGCCAATGTGCTAGTTGCTTTGTTGTATGTCTATTATTTTACTGTGTGGGGCCACTAAATAAGTTATCTTTATTTATATTAAAAATTATGTTTATTATATGCATCACACTTTATTCATTTCTATTAGTGCATCTTTATAATGCTGTTGTAATCATTGTAACAGCGCATGCATATAAATATATTATAAACCCGTTGCTATTCACATTTTATATTTACTACAAGCTTAAATATACACACAGTTTAAATTATTTACACTTATACAAATATTACTTAGCCTATAACACTACCTGGTTTTTCTTATTTTTATTTACATATATTTACACTTTAATGCACATTCAACACTCTACCTTTTTAAATTTTACTAATGATTAATTACAAAAATTTAAGAGTTAGTCTTTTCAATGCAGGTTCCCTAGGTACTGGACATGAGGAACTGATTGTGGAGATGGAAAGATTGGTCCCAGA